CCATGCCTAGAGCACATTACCTAACTGGTTGCTCTAAGATGCTTCCTTTTCTCCCACCATCTCCTGGAAGCTTTCCTGTTACTATCTGGAAGGCAGGTAGCAATTATACCCAGTAGGGATGAGAATTCCCACTGTTCTCCATTATCTCACTCAAATAACATAATAGGTCTAATTAAAAGGTGGCAGAGAAGGAGAGAATGGGAACTTACCAGTTGAGCAATAAAAGACAGTATGCCTCTTGTACTTAGTTATTTTCTTTTCTTTACTCATTATTTTGGTTACATTAAATTTCTCACTCCTCGACAGAGTTCACTGATTGTTATTACTGTAAATAAATGTGTTAACCAACAAACATCTACTATGTGTGGTGCCGGCGTCACCAGGAGGTGTTTTGCCACTTGATTGTTGGTGTGGCGTTTCCTGGTAGTTTTTAAAAATTGTCTTCCTAGAGAACAAGGCCAGTCTAACAAGCAGCACCAGTTCATCCAAGGGCAAAGCAATTGGGATTCTCCACAAGAGGCCCCAAAGGGCCTTCTCTAACTACCTATCCTCTGAGAATAATGTGAGAACATGAGGTCCCCAGCCCAGAGCAACGGGAACAAGCTAAGACAGGTTGACTATAGAACCCTTATAAGGGGGCACTGCTATGAAGTCACAAGTTCTGCTTTTCAAACATGGCACCAGAGCAGAGTTTCTAAGTCTTGCCACTACAGGAATTTTGAATAATTATTTATTGTAGAGGCAGTCCTGTGCATTTTAGGATGTTTAGCAGAATCCCTGGCCTTTACCCACTAGATGCAATAGCACATGCCCTGCTCCCAATTGGGACAACCAGAAATGTCCCCAGACATTGCCCAATGTCTGAGAGGGGCCTGGAATAGCTATAGTGGGGGTACAACTAGCTTACTGTTTGGCCCTTCGAAGTAAATACTTTGTCTGGCAAGGTGGGGCTTAAAGGGTGAAGGGAAGGCAGGATTCAGATGTATTCTGATAATTCTGCTGAAGCATTTTTGGAATTTTTCCCACTCTTGGAATTGCCTTTAGAGCCAGTTTCTGAACGTCAGAGAGAAATAAGCCCCCCTTCTTCATGCTCATAGCTCATGTCTATGTCCTTGGAATCACAGCATTTTAGGATTGGAAAAGATCTTAGAGATCAGCTAGATTCAAATAATTATATAATCCATCAACTATCTGAACTCCTGCGAACTCAGAGTTTTCAAGATGTTTGTCACTAGGACACCACAGCTGTGCTGAAGAGAGATTAGCAGATGTATTTCACTGTGAGATATCTGGAACAGTGTCACATGCAAAATAAAACTCAAAAATCACTGCCCTTGAGCACAATTTGGGATTAGTATAGATTATCAGCCATAGGATTTCCACAAGGATTTAAAATAACACAACCTAGAGAATGGTCCAGCCCCATAGCTGGAAGGCAGATGAGGGGGTCTGGGGGTGCACAGTAAAACCAGGCTCACTGATATTAAGATCTGCTGGCAGCCATGACAGCATTTTTAGTAAAAATATTCACAGTTCTGTTGCTCGGCCAGGAAAACCTTATTTTATTTATACAGCATTTCTCTCTCCTAGTGACACATGCTGTATTTATTTGCCTGAGATGGTCCACTTAAGTAAAAGTAAACCAAAGGAAAGCCATCTAGAAAACAAATCACCCAGCAGTCTGCTTATCCATTTTTCATAAACATCAGAGCCATCTCCTTCTAAACAAAAGGCAGAGCAGTTGCCAGAGGACAGAAAGTGAAGAAAGGGAAATAAGAGTTTGCAAGGGGAATCTCACTCTGTCTCTCTTGGTCGTTAATGTTGAAAAGCATTCTAAGGAGAACGTCCATTACCTTGTTTTTGTACGGGCAACTTCAGTTGGAGCTCTCACCCACCACCCTCTCCCCACCTCTTCCTCACTGGTCCTGGCATAGAGGTGGGAGTGGGGGTGACTTATCTCATGAAGAGAATTTGGGAGAAAAACTCTGTCTTAGCTCCACCCACTCTGCTCTCTCAAACCTGCCTAACTGCACAGAGTGACCATTTGGGCAAACTTAGGGGTGCAAGCTTTATATGGAAGGGAGCCTACAATTGGCCAGCTGGGCTAGAGTGTCTGGGGGTGACACTGGGTAAGTGTTACTAGAGCTAGCTAGCCCTTTTGACCACAGATATAAAGCTGACATTCTTCCATCAGTTGATCAGCAACAAAGCTGACATTCTGAGTTCCCTTTGTCTTGTCTTCTGGGTCAATTGGGTTTGAACTCAGGAGGGGAGGGAAAGGTGTCAATAGCCCCTAAGACACCACAGTAAAATGTAGGTTAGAATGATTAGAGTGATTTAAATAGCCATGTGAGAAGACCAGCCCATTCACACCACATTCTACAACTAAAGGATCAAAGCCCAGTTACAGCTACACCTCCTCGTCCAGTCTGCTCTCACAAATGGGGAGAATGCCAAGCAGAATATATGAGTGCCATTAATTATGTAATAATTTAAAAAGAAGGGAGCTCTCCCTGGTTTCAAGTGTCACTGGCTCTGACATTAGCTTGGATGAGTCATTCCACCTTCATGGAGCTGTTCATCTGTGGTCTCAGAGGTGGTGATGATAAAACCAGGAATTCTAGGTTTTGTGTTTGTTCTTAAATATGTTACTGATGAGAGAAAGAACCCTGTGAAAACTGAGCAAAAATGAGAGCCATAAAACTTTGTGGCCTCCAGGTTGTAAATGCTAATATTCATTGATTCTGTGTATTCCTCATAGAGTGAGACATCATTGCCCATAAAGGTTCCTTAGGAATTTAATTTAATGAAATAATAGAAACGGTTACAATTAGAATACAATTGTGTATGTGCAAATATGCTTAGGAGAGCTTTGATAGCATTTGTGGCTGCTACATTTACCCAAATTTTGGCCTACATTATTAATTTGCCCTACTATGAAGAAAGGGTTTGTTAATCAAAGATAAACTACCCCAATGATTTTGAATTAGTGAGCTCCAAATTACGGTAGGATAATGAGGCAGGGCTGTGCACATATACGACGCGGCTAAGCAAAAGCTTTCTGGCTGGCCACATAGGAGGTCTCCTTATTGAAAGATTTATTTTTAATTTTGAACAGCTTCCCAGCATCACCCTTCATGAAAATTAAAATAAGGAGCTGGAATTTTGTCCTATTCAGCAAACCTCCTGCCAGGACTGCTCACCATGGCGGAGAAAACAACCTCACTGTGTCAGAGGAATTCCCTGTCCACCTTTCTCCTAGATCTAAAAGAATTACACCTACATTTTTAGTCCAACTTAGACTGTTTTTTTTCCTTGTTGTAGAGGGAGGATCTTTAGCCTGTCTTCTTCCCATTCCTTGCCCCTTCTGGCCTGGCGGGGGTTGACATAATCCTTTGGCTTGAATCCTTAGGTGTACAGAAAGTCATAGACGTCTCCCCACAAAGTCTGTGGGAGCCAAGCCTGTCCTCAGCACATCTCCCAGAGGCTGTTCTCTGCCAAAGAGAATGACTTCACCTGTACACTAAGGCCTCAAAGTCTCCATTCCTAGTTCTAATTCAGTGAAGAACACGAAGCGGTGATGTGTTTTGAGGAAAGCTGGAAAGGTGCTTCAGGCTGAACATAAGGATATCGATTGGCTCACAAATCAGACTCTCCAGGGTGTGCAAAGATCACTCTGTACCTCGTTGGCTCCTTCTAACTCAGACACACCAGTGACACCAATGCATTTCCCAGGATCAACATGCGGCATTTCCAGGGCATTCTCCCAGAAAGAGCACTAATCAAAGACTGGACATCACACACAGAGTGCTTGTGATGCCATCAGAACCTCCTAAATCATTCTAGTCTTTATAGAAAAACAAAACCAATGACCACTAATAGCGTTCACAACCTGGAAGTGCAGAAATTAAAGACAAAAGCATCACCAGATGATCAGTTCATACCACATATTTTAAAAGACCAGCCACCTTTGTGTCGCCGAAGCTGCCTTTGGGGAAGATGTGCCTTTCTAGCTCCAGTTCAAAATCTCCCCCAAGTCTTAACTTTTTATTTATTCTAGAGAGTTCAGGGGAAAGTGGAAAAATAATGGCTTTGGATCGGGACACTGGAATACTTCTCACTAGAGATCAATTAGTACAGACATATTTTACCTAACTATTGAGTGCACTTACTGAAACATGCATTTAAGAGAAAAGTGCAGGAAGAGGTGATAGGATTGTGGGCAATTTATAATGCTTTGCCAGCAAAGTTTGTTGTTCTTAAGAGCCTCACTAAAGGATAAACTATAGTTTTTTTTCCTCCTGCTCCCTTTAACTCTCCAGAAATAAGTAACAGGGAGCCGGCAATGGAAAACATGTGGCGGAAATCCAGAATGGAAAATTAGCATGAGGATGCGTGGAAACTTCTTCAGGGGAGGAATGGGGATGAGTAGGTCAGGGACTGGAGTCTAGAATTCTAGATTCTACTTTGCATTTTTAAAAACCTGATATTTAAGATTTTACAATAGTTCTGCAATTCATGCAGCAGTAACTCAGCATGAATAGAAAATATAAATATACTACAGCAAATATAAATGTACCAATGCAGATTAGTAAAAATCAATCTTATAATCCTAAATAATCTGTAAATGCTCTAATGTCCAACCATGGACCTTGTGATTAAAATGGCCAGCCCAAATCCCTTAAAAGAGCAGTCTAGCATGGAGTGACCCAGCTCACTAGACTGTTATCTGGTTTCAATCACTGTCTTGGTCTTCATTTAATCTCCTCCTCCTAGTACAGGGTGTGTGATGCAGTTAATGTCCAAAAATTTATTTATTGAATGAATAAATGTTCATCTAAGAGTCTTTTGTATTATAACACAGTTCACAGGTTTATAATTAGGTCCATGTAGTTTTACTTTAATTTTGGAACTTTAATATCATTCATGGATATCAACACAAACCCCTTCTCTATAATGAGCACATTTAGATCATTTAATAAAGTGGATCCACTTCCTACCTGCTTGGTTGGTTGTCACGGTGACAGACACTGACTGATCCGGACTAGGGTTATACTTGGACACTCCATTCACCGCCCAGATTTCAAATGTGTAATTGGTATGAGCCAGGAGGTCAGTGATGGAGACTTTGGTGGTCTTCAGGCCATTCTGCTGTGGGGTGTAGTGGACCCCACTGCCACAGGGTCGGCACTTGCTAGAATCACCAGCTCCACACTTCTTGCACACCACATTGTAGGAAATGTCCTGGCGGCCACCTGTGTTCTGAGGACTGCTCCATTCCAAGTTCACTGAAGTCTCATTGACATTTGAAATCAAGTTTAGGGGTGCAGAAGGTGGGCCTGGAGAAAGAGAAAAAAAACATACCATCATACCAAGAACTGTAAGGATCCTTTTGGAATCTCTCAGTTTCTATTGTTCTCTGCAACTTCAAGAGGTAGATGGGCCTATTTGGCAAATAATGCAAAAAGGAAATCGAGTTAGCAAAAAGATCTTTTAAAATAAAAATAGAATAGAAAACTGTAGGTGTGAGTGTCATTTTCATTTGTGTGCAAACAAATGTGGCAATACCTGCCACTCTGAGATGTAAGGCCACTCTACATCAAATGAGCTCCAAGTCCAGGCTTCCCCTCTGAAGTGGCAGGAAAATATCACAACTTATCCAGTCTTGATCTTATCATCTGAAAAATGGGTATACAAATGCAATTCTAGTTCCCAGAGTTATTGTGGGACTCTGCTAAATTAAAAGATATATACCACTTCTGAAGATAAATGGTGATTCCTAAGTTGAGTGTGTCATCAATATAGAGGAAGATTAAATTGTTTATTGGGTAATTACTTGGAACCGGTTTAACCTGGTTGCAAAGATGTTGAAGGAAGGTCCTGTTGCTGAAACATCCCAGCTTTAGGCAGATATTGTACAAAGGCAACCAACCACACGTTCAGCCCTTGAACTGACCAAGGCTGCCTAGGCTTTGCTTTTATGAAAACATTAGTACCTGTTTACACCAATGGAAAGAAATCAAAAAATGATGTTTGCATTTATGAAAAAAATGGTGAAAATTGTGTTTTGCATTTGTTTTGCAGCAAGCTGTTATAGAAGCAGCGTGCACCCTGCATGCCAACCTCCTTTCCCAGGAACTCAGCATTAAAGCATCAAGCTGCCTTAGCTTTGAACTGTGTCTGTCAGCATCTGTGCTTTATCTCGATTTACTTTGTGCATCCCTTAGCAAGATGTGCCTTAAGGTAGTGGGCCATTTCAGCTTAAGAAAGGTTTCGCAGAAACTCTCAACTTTCAGATAGTGGGGTGGGGAGGGGGGGAGAGGGACCTGTACTCATTCCAATGGACATGCAAGAGTTTCTGAAATATGAATGGTGGTAGTGGAATAGAACAACTGATCCCAACAGATAGTGGTGGTTTAACAACAATCTACACTAATAAAAGAGAAAGATGCAAATTGACCATATTTTGTAATGCCCACCAGCCAATCAGGAGTGAGTATGCAAATTAATCCAACAAAGATGGTGGGTTAATTTGCATACACAGGCACTGCCCCAGCTGCTCAGGGCCTCTGGGCAGTGTGGGAAGGCAGAAAGAAGGCTCTGGCCAGAGAGAAGGCGGTGCCAGCAGCCAGGGTAAGGAAGGCCCATTCTTGCACAAATCTTCATGCATCAGGCCTCTAGTAATAATAGATAAGACTATAGAACAATGATGACTCTCTTGCTGTAGATTAGTTTTTACAGGCTAAGAAGTTACCACACAAAAGAATTCAAGAAGAAAAATAAGTGTGGGAGACATGAGAGGTAATTTTCCTGGTCTCTGCTGGTTCCAAATGTTTAAAAGACATCTCCACACTCTAATCAAAAATATTTATTCAATGTGAGAATCAGCAAGCCCTCTCTTTCCCTTCTCCTTTCACGTTGTGATCCTCTAAGAAAAGAGCCAAAAGTGGGTTTTAATGAAAGTTTGGGATTTCTTGCTCACTGTACCTATTCTACTTCTATTTTGTCTGTAATGACTGCTTTGAGGAAAGTTACCTGGATGCCTGTGTGAAGTCAGGAGAAGTGTTATCTCATGGACCACAATAGAATGTACTGTTCCAAAGTAGCCTCTGAGAGAGAGTTGCATGTAATCTACATACAAGGGGTTATATTCAGTACTATTCAGCTAATGGTGATGAAGACCAAAAGAATTTTGGTGATAATACTGAATAAGGCCAATTTTCTCTCCTCTTCTCTTTGTACAGCTTAATTGAAGACTTTATTTTAACAAGGTAAGTGTGCCTTCCCAATGTCCCCTTGAGATTAATTATGATGTCTTCTGCTCCCTTGCCTGACCTGTGAACCTTACAGGGAAAACAATGTTGAAAAATTTGTGTTAAAGGTGAGATTACCCCACAGAAATTTCCAGAAATAAAATACCAGTGTTCTTTTTGTTTACATTTTCATTTGTATTAAGGGTCCTTTGGAAAATAACAAGGTCAAATAAATGGTTTCTGAATAAACGAATAGAGCTCTTTAAAATCACAGACTCCTAGAGCCAGATAGGATGGTAAAGATCATTTGGTCAAACAGCTTCATTTTAAAGATGAGGAAATTGAGATCCAGGAAGTGAACCTGATAATATGGAAAGCTTGTGCAATCTAATTAGTGGCAGAATCTAACATCCATAAGTACTAACTCCACTTTGGGGTTATTTCCACTCTACCATATGGCCCCCATTTAAGGTATAAGAACAACAAAATCAGCAGTTTCAACCAAAGTTTGAAATGTAAAGGTAGGAAGAGGGAGTGTGTATCATCAGTCCTGTTCAGGTTCTGTAGAAGCTTGCCACCATGGTGAAATCCTTACTCGTTTGCATCTGAAGCTGACCACAGCTTGGTTTATAAAATAGGTCAGCCACTGGTTCTCATTGTGCTGCAAGGTTCTAGGGTTAAATGAGAGTGACTCTCAAATCCATGCCAAGGTTCCTGGTCCACTTTCACATGGGAAAATGTGACACAATGAATCAAACACCACAGAAGCAAAAAGTCAGTAATTAGTATGTAGGATGGGGCATGGCAGTGTCTAAACAGAGAAGAAATAGAGCAGAAAACTAAATGGTCACAGGCCTTAGAGATATAACACAGTCACGTGGAAAAAAAATGCTTCAGGATTTCTAATTGGAGGGCTGGCAGGAAAACCAGTAGTAGCCAGCCCAGAACAACCTTCTTCCTTTGGGAAGAAGATTTGTGTAGATGCTCAAGGAAAGAAGGAAAATTAGGCCAATTCAAGTTCAATGTTGTCTCCGTGAATGGTCTGGTGAATGGTACTGAACACGGTTTATGTTTTGCTGCCATATGGAATGATGGTTTGATGAGCATAGTTGCAGCTTAGAAATTAGACTACAACACAGAATTGAGGCAGGAGGAAGGGGATATAGAAATGTCTACCCAATATGATTATAACATTGGCCTGCACAGGAACCAGGAAAGAAAGAATGCCTTATAAATTAAAATCATAATGGTGGTTATATTTTTTGTGGGATTGTTTTTTCTTTCTTTCTTCCTTTCTTTCTTTCTTTCTTTCTTTCTTTCTTTCTTTCTTTCTTTCTTTCTTTCTTTCTTTATTTTACCTTTTGCATTTAAATGATAATAACATATGAAGTGTGTTTCTATTTAAAGGAGGGGTCATCTCTTCTTCAGAAAAGAAAGAATTCTCCTCTCAAGACATAAGAAAAATATAGTCAAAAGCCAATACTTAGCAGCACCTTAAAACAATCACCTGTAGAGATGGCTAAAAAGAAAAGGAAACAGGCCTTCTAAGTTACATGAATTCTCTGAGTAAATACAAATGATCCAGAAAGAAAAAATCTTAACTTTTAGATTATCTTCCCTTTTGTTCAGGTGAGTATTGTATCTGGATATTTAGGAACAATTATATTTCTGAAAGGTAACTGACTTTCTCATCAGAAATATATCCATTGGCAAATAAGTTTCCAATTACAAATACAAGATGTATCACAGAGAAGAATAAAGGTGGCATTTGTTTTAATTTTCTAGTCTTAATATTGACATCATGTCCACTGAGCAGACACCAGCATCAGGCAGCTTGTGGGTGATTGTGAACAGTAGGGTTTTATGCTTTCTAAAGCTACCCAGTAGTGGCCTGAATGTAGGGCTAATAGCAATCTGCATATGGTATTGTTCCACAGTTCAGGTCTTTATTTCTATTTCCTATTTTGTTTGGAACATGGTTTGCTAATGCGACACTTATCACCAGTCTCTATGCTCCTCCAGAGATGAACTGATGTCTTCATTTCCTGGTGTCTACCATGATTCGTAGTTCAGAGAAAGCTCAATAAATATTTGATGAGTCGATGAATAAGTGAATGACTGCAGGGAAAACTGACAAAATCCTCAAATGCATCTATGCCTAACTATCTCCAGTGTGTTTTCAAATGTGTGAATTAATACAGCTTTCCCTGAGCTAAAGTAGTATTAGTCGGCTTTTTACGTACAGATTCATGAGCATTAAGCCCTGTAAAGGAGTATCTCAATGTAACTAGTTTAATTCAATTTCTTCTTTTCTATAATTTAAAAACACTTTGGAAAAAATAAGGAGGGCTATATATATATATATTATTAGTGGTTACTTCTTTTGAGAGGGATTGTGGGATCATTCATTTATTCAATAAATATATATTGAGAGTCCAGTATTTGTCTCCTGCTCTAGAAGAAAAAGAAAAAAAAAAGATTCATTTTGGTAATTCACTGGATAGTTGAAGGAAAGGAAGCTGGGAGAAAGAAAAACTAAAGGAAGCTAAGTGGGGATTAAGTGAGCACCAGGAGGATGTAAGGGCAAACACTCCATCCTCTCTTGTTTTTAGAACTCCCTAACCAACCACTCCACCAATGCGGCTGGGAATTTAAAATGTGGGCTTTACCCCTGGCCTGCTTGCAACACCATCCAATACACCAAGGCTGTGGGTTTGATCCCCTGTTAGGGCACACAGAGAAAACAACCAATGAATGCATGAATGGGTGGAGGAATAGGTCAGTATTTCTTTCTCCTTCTCTAAAAATCAATAATAAAATTTTAAAAATGCAGACTCCATCAATTAAAGTTGTATTCATTTGGAATTAGTTATTATGACTTTCCTTTCTCCATCTTGAGTTAAGGCAGTGATGGCGAACCTATGACACGCGTGTCAGAGGTGACACGCAAACTCATTTTTTTGGTTGCTTTTTCTTTGTTAAGTGGCATTTAAATATATAAAATAAATATCAAAAATATAAGTCTTTGTTTTACTATGGTTGCAAATATCAAAAAATTTCTATATGTGACACGGCACCAGAGTTAA